AAGTAAAATTTGTTAAAATGAGAAGGTTGGTTTAGGTATGCAATTTATATAGCAAAGTCCGTTAAAAGACAATTGACATGTGGGTACAAAAACATGCTACAAACGTATACTCTGTTTGTTTTTGAAATGGGTAGTTGTTACCAAATCAGAAGTGGTGGAGCTAGAACACAGCCTGTTGGCAACCATAAACTTATTTTATGAAACAACAAAATATTTCTATTTCTTCTGCAACTTGATTAGCAAATACTATCAACAATAACAGAAAATGGAAACAAAATTACTCACTGTCTCACAATTTAAATTCTGACTCTCAGTTTCCTACTCCATCATAATTTTAAAGATGCTTTTATGAATGTCTAGAATATCCAAACCAGAATATTAATATTTGAAAACTATGTGGATAACCCAAGAATATCTGTCATACACTCATGACTCTCAATATTTCTTTGTATGGTTGTTAAACTGTATTTCTCACATACAACAAAAAGCAACATGCAACATTAGAAAGCAAGTAAAAGCCCCCCATATAGACCATTTAAACTTCAGTTTCTATTTTGTAGAGAATATCAAAAGCTTGTTTAACTATGATATAGAAACTACATGGTATTTGATCTCAATACAAATTTGTGTGCACTGGCTACCTCATCAAACACCTTTGAAGGTTATTCAGTATTTTACACTTATGAACTCTCAGAAGTTACAGTTCTAAGGCAGACAATCACTCTTAGCTCCTGCCATAGGAATAAAGATTTCAAACTGTGAGAAATTCACAAGCTATGGGAGTTCACATCTTATAATCCTATATCAGCGATGGATTCTAAAGCACTCTGTTGCTTGACTTCGAGTTCAGCTGCTAAATTCCTCAGTGTGAACACAAAAGGCTATGGATGTGAAAAGGTTTGTTTCTGAATTTTCCTACACTGAAACATACAGTAACGTGCACTTCAGGGAATTCAAAGCATCAAAACATTAATATTGTAGGAAATTAATTTTTTAACATACTGGATGAAATAATGAAAATACCTTGCTAAACAGAACTTTAGACTCTGAGGACAGGTTCTGCAACAAGACTTATTCATACTGACTTTTCATTAGTCGATTAATTTCCCTTGGTACATGCTAACTAATAAGGTTGTTAGTCCTTACCACTAATACAGCTTCAAGTTCAAAATAAAGGATAGCTTCCATAAAAGTGTTACGTTTTCTTCCAGTGAAAATAACAAACTACTAAAAAAAAGTATTACTTAAGTGATACAAAATTGGGAAGAACAGGAACAGAATTATGAACATTCTTTAGTATTTGGGGGGGTGAATTTTTTTGGATTTACCAATGATTTCTAGCAATTAAAGAAGATACCACAATAGGAAAATATTTTAAATTCTATTTTAGGGTTTTTGCAAGTATAAAACAGTGACATCACACTCTGTAGCACAAGAGGATGTTTTGATTTTTGGGTTGTTTTTTTTTTAGATTAGGTACTAAACCGCACAGATATCAACATAGAGAAAAAGTGTCCTGTTTTTATAATATTCCTTAAATTTGGAAAGTGTAAAACCAAATGAAATCCCTCTTCAGTCTGACCTCCTTGATCAATGCTAGATTTTAAAAATGGAAGTCATTTTTCTTTTTCAAATACACCATCTGATTTCATAGGCACAATGCATTTTCAAGAAGCAGTAGAAAGACTTGAAAAATAACCTTCCATCAACTATTTTAATCATACTTGTAAGTATCTCAATATTTATTGCCTGACAGACAGTGTAAGATAAGAGTATGTTCAATTGGTAGAAAATATCAATCAAGTAAAGCTTGTCACACATCATCTGAATAAAATTCATAATTGGGTAAGTTTTTAGTGTCATTTTTTTGAAATCCTCTTCCAGAACAACGTATTCCAATTTTTGTGGTTGAGAAAAGAGAATTTTCTTTTTTCTTCATGCACTGCTTACACTAGAATTTTCATCAACAAAACACAAAGAATCTGTGTGTTCTTTAGTGGACTACAATTTCTTCAAGTCTGTGCACAACCAGATATTTTGTAAATTTGCATCTTTTACCAAAATACAGTCTTACAGAAGACTGTGAAGACATTCAGTGTCCTGTCCAACTGGGTGAATGAGCACCATCTTTGGATAGATGCAATTCAAAGTTATTAAATCCAAGACAATGAATAGCTGGAATAATGAAAGAGCAACATTGGTGGATGTGTACCACAGAGGGAAAAGCATCACGAACAAAATCACTGCTTAATGTTCAGCAGTCATCAAAGAGACAAAGTAGACACCAGAATGCAGAAAAAGCAAACAAACAATAACAGCATTATTGTACTACATTACTGTAACAAAGTAAAGTTTGACTAAAAAAAAGCGACTGTTTAAAAACAGATTAAGGAGGCAGCATGAGAAAAAATACAAAACAGAATACAGAAAAGACAAAATGGGGAGCCTCATCCTATTGTCTCATCAGCCAACAATTATGAAAGGTAAAGGCAAAATGAAACTTTCTGAAAAAGAATGAAACCGGGTAGATTTAATTTGTGGAACTCCCTGTCACAGTGCAAGATGCAAAGTATTTGGCAAAATAAATAAAAGGAATCAATCTCAAACTGTGTATATATATATATGTTCTATACAAATATATGCACCACACATATAAAAATATAACTGGGCTGGGCTGGAAAGACATTGTCCCTGTTGAAAGTCAGTACTAACAATTGTGAGTTTTATTTCTTTTTCACTGCAATAACTAGTCCTGGGGGTTGATAGAGACAATATGGTATGAGTCACTACTAAAAATATTTTTTTTTCAAGACAAAGACAGGTAAAAATGAAACTATTTTTCTGTATGTGTTATGCAGACAAAACCTTGATTGAAATGTGATTTTTGAACTTAAATTTACCTTTATGGAAATTATCCATGTGAAGAATTTACTTGTAGATCACCTAGTTAATACAGTTGGGATGCAAAAAATAATATAGAAAATACAGAAACAGGAGTTCAGGGAATAAATGTGGAATCTTCAAAAAAAGTGTGCATTTTCTCTGCCTTCAGTGTAGTGACTTTAAGATTCAGCAGAGGAAGCATATGCTAGAACTTACTCTGATCAAATTAAATACATATACAGAAATGCACTTGGAAAAAAAAAATCCCTCTCTCTTATTCTCTTAGAAAGAAAAGATATTTTCTTTACTTTTTTAATCCAGCAAGAAACCTCAGCAACAGAATGGTGAGTAGCTGGGTTGTGAGAATGTGAGCAGCTGCTGTTATTATAACTAAAGGTCTGTCTATGGCTTGAGCCTGAGAGACCACATGTTCGGCTGTCCTCTCATCTTGCCATCCTCACCAATTAACTATTAACATGGAGGGCTGTACACATGCTCTCAGGGGCTCTTTAACAGGCTTCTTGGAGAGTGGAACAACTACACAGCAGGGCTCTGGGAACTGAGTAATGTGGGGTATAAGGAACCCTCAGCAGCTTTGCTCCTCCTAATGACAGTTTTCTCCATAGTTTAGTGTTTAAAGAAGGATACATGAAGTTTAACAATTTAAAAAAAAATTAATGCTCTCATTTGTTTAAGGCTGCTAAGCAAAGATTCTGGAATTTTTTTTGTTTGTTTGTTTGTTTTTAAAAAAAAAAAAAGATATAATTCCAATCCTAACTTCATGGGCATTGATTTATATGGAATTTAGAAACACAAAACCAAAATTAACTTCCCAGGTAAGTTTGCAACAAACAAAAAACTTAGTCTTTCAGATTGTTTCTCAGAGTCTCTTCTGGACTTCTCTAAAATATTATCACACCTTTTTCTTTTACATAATGTGTAAAAAAACCCATAATACAACTGATTGTATGTGTCCAATTATGGACAGGTAATTTCAATGGGTAAAAAGAAGGATGCTTCACAAATTCTATACATCACATTAAATTTTACTGTCAATCCTTCTGAAGGCAAACTGCCATCTAATATTTAAAAATAGCTAAGTGAGGAGATAGAGGTTTGTCCTGCAAAAGGAATATTCATATACTTTTGATCACAATGGTAACACCAGATAACCAAGTTTCTTTATTTTCAAAGCAGTAAGAGCATCAGGTAGCTATACAAATAACATTTGCAAGGTATTCAAACACCTTTACAAAATGCAATACAGAGTGAGAGTCACGTACCTATCAAAGATAGGACTTAATCTAACGATAAACTCATCTACTATGAAAACATTTTGCATAATACGAGGTTTTATCCAGTACTTTTTTACTATAATCACATCAAATTAATATCTAAAATTATAGGTTCTCTGTTCATTGTGAATAATAATTTTGCTTTTGTAAGTTACATTACCACTTGCAGAAAAAAAGACTACATTTTTCCTTTTGCTAAAGAAGTTTACTTCTATAGAGAAGATACATTTAAGTCTCCCTATACTCTCAGGAAAGGTGTGGTTAGGAGCTTCTGATTTGGCAGTTGGGAAAAATACTCTGACACCATAACTGACTTGCTCCTGGTCGCAATACAAAGGAATTTAAAATTAAAGAGTAAACCTTTATCTTTCAATTTCTGGCTTTAAAAACATGATCACACATCAAAATTATGAGCATGACAGATGAAGACAGTGGACTGAAATATCTTGTACTGAAACTCTAAACAGTGTTCTGAAGGCAGTGAAAAAGTGCATAGAGAAAAAAAATATGAAAAAAGAGATTACTAGCAGAATTGTCTTTGGTTTTTTACAGTTTCTGAAATTTTGATAGTTTTTCAAAACAGACTAAGAGCCACATAAGGCATAACTGTATCCAAAATGGTTTTGTGCTTAGGTTTTTGTAGATTTTGCAGAACAACTGTCCCACAAAAGCACAGGAACACTACAGTGAAGCTATGTTTTAACCTTTAAACAAAAAGAGTTTTCAAAATTCCCAAAACTGCATTTATTTTCTTACTATAAACTTTAAATTTCTGTGAACTGATATGTCAGCTATGAAATACAGTAAGGACAGGGTTCCTACCTGGATAAGGTGGGCAGGCACCGTGATGATGCAGGCTGACAAAGACTTTCTGAGGAGGGCACGGAGAACATAGAGAAATTTTGTAAGGCTATGAATATCTTCAGGAGTATCACTGCTACAGATGTCGTCACCCCACAACATGGAACCCAGACTTTGGATTCCTATCCGCAAAATATTCTTTTGTTTTTTCTATTGAAAAGAAAAGCCACTTGTTATTTTTTAAACATTAAGAGGAAAACGTAATGTAATATATTTTAAAAATACAATGTATAGAATTCATATCCATAATAATTATGTAGTTTACATAACCACAGTTTAATCTCAGATCATCTTATAAAAATTACAAATGGAATGGCATTTTTTTCACTATCATGCTATGTCGGATAAGTAAGTACAAGTGAAAGAGGCAGCATGGAAATAAACTATTGATTTGCATTTTAAAACCAGGTAAATGTAAATACATTTTGACACAAAATCTAATCATACTACGATTTTTCATTTCCTTTCTCTCCTTCATCCCTGTCTGACGCACAGAAGAATCTCTTCTCCCAGCTCTAAACTGGTCTGCTGGAAGGGCCTGAGAGTAATCAAACACAACTTTTCCCTCTATTTTCAACCGTGTTACTTTCATAACCTGACTATTCTGACTGTTTGTATCAGTTTCTCTTTTTCTGCTACTTAAATGAACAAGGTCAGTGGCCTACCTCACCAATGCATGGACCTTTCATTATTTTAGAATTCTCTGTATCACCAACATTCCTGTCAACTCCTTCCGACTAATGAAGGAAGGTTTACCCACAGCTATGGAGAAAAAGTCTGATGGAGACATCAGCAGATTGTCTCTTAAGGACTACACTTTTCTCAAAGTCCTTGACATGAGTGTTTCTGGATCTGCTTTAGCTAGCTACTGAGTACTAGAATGACATATAAAATTCTAAACAGCCTCCCGTGTTACCTACCCAAAGACTGTTTGCTGCCCTGCAGTACACTGGCAGAAGAGCATCCAACAGAGGCAGTGGCTAAGAGAAAGCCTCTTTTCTGAAGGGGCAGATTATGAAGCCAGAGTTGTAATTTGTTTATGTAAAGTGAAATGTCATCTCTCATGATGACAGATCTTATTTCTGCTTATTTGATGTGACCTTTCCTGCTGATCTTTGAGAAGGATTTTAGGTATATTTGCTATCAGCAGCTCAGAGGGAGACAATAAGCACCCTTGTTGAAATACTTCCTGTACAAGGTGATCAAAGACACGTTTCTAGAGTTCAAGGCTCATATTTAAAGGCTAGCTGCTTTTTTTAAAATATAAAAAATTATTTGTTTAAATATTTTTAAATATATAAAAAAATTTGTTTACATAAATAAAAGCTTCCAATGCCCTTTTCATTACAGAAAAGTAATGAATGACAAACTGTAGATATTCATTTCCACCAAACGGAATGAACAGTAACTATCAAGCACAAAACATTGCACAGCTGCTCTGGAAATCCAGAGGAAAGTTTGTGACAAGGCAAGAGGCTACTCTTATAAATCCTTCCTTCTCTGTATTGGGAAGACAGAGCCTGAGTTGTAAACATGGTTAGTACCACATGGCTCTGCACTGATCCACCTCTTACGGCTCATGCAGTGAACTGATCTACCAATTTGCTTACAATCTTTGTGAAACCCTGGTGGATTCTTTAGTCTTGGGCTTTGCAGGCTTTTAGGCTTGATTTATGTAAAGTTAAACTTTTTACACTACTGCATGAAGATCAGGATAATACTACAGGATAATACGACACAATCTGACTTCTCTGTATAAATGTTAGGCTTGGATGTTCAGTTTTAAAAGGGATAGGAAAAATAGAAACTAGTCTAATATTCTTTAGAGCAGATTTGCGCATTTCTTGATGTGTGGTTAAGCAATGGTGCAAAATCAGGAATTTTAAAAAGTATTTTATCCGGATATATTGGACATTGACCATAAAGATAAAGTGTTCTGGCATTTCAAAATTTCAGAGCAAACATATATAAAACTTATAGAATTTTTTTATAACGAGGAAAATATTTTTTTCTTATCAAGAACATCCATAAGAACAACATACAGAGAAAAAATTGTATCAGAATATCACTTCTCTTATCGGATAAGGAATGACAGAGGCTTGTTTCACAGTATTATATCATGAGTTGCAAAAGATAAAGCTATTCAAACACCAGATAATATCAGATGTATTTATTTTGGCAGTAACAGAATATCTGAAAGTTTTACTAGCCAGGTTAAACTTTTCCTTTCAATCCAGATCCAACAAGCAACACGTTTCTATAGACCTCTATAGTCTACAGATTTTGAAAGGATTATACTTCACAGAACAAAAAATGAAGCATTAACGGCACCAGCTTCTGTCATTCACAGACAGTGATTAATGAATCTACTTAAAGTCAGTACATAAATCTCTTGAAAGTTCATGTATCTTCCTGCTACATTTTGGCTCTTGCAGTTTTCTCCAGACTCCATGAAAACTGCCAATAGGACCTGCCCAAAGGTGAGAAAGCATACATGCACAAAATTCTCAGACCCTTGTATTATGATTATATACAGGAAAGGACACAGCTCCAGAAGAATACAGGCTGGTCCTTACTGTAGAGTCTTCGCATCTGGCTACTTAGAAAGTACTTATGAAGTCTCAGTAAGTAGAAGGGAATACAGAGTAGCCCAGAGGTGAATTTCTCATAGATTTGGAAAATAACAAGATCCAAGGTGTGTTCTGGGCCATAACTACATTCAACTCTGGACGTATTTTGAAGAAGTGTGTATTGTACACTGCTTCTAAATGTACAAAAATGAGTGTACAAAGAAAGGTGATGCATAGGGAAAAGAGGAAACTTTAAAAGAAACTGCTCCAGGAAATCATATGATTGTCTCCCTTGAAACAGAAACAACTACACAAGTGCTAATGGCTTTCTAGATGGATAAACAGGCCTGAAAAAGGGCTCTTTCTAACTTCTAAAGCTTCACCTCAGAAACTTATGTATATCATTTACCAAACATATACTTTTAAATCCATCTTAGTTAAGATTCTGGTTTTGCTTTATTGACAGTAGTAAGACATTTTGTAGCAATGAACAAGTACCGCAAAGAACTATTGATGATGGTTAATTCTTCCCTGCTTGCAAGCAAAAAACCCCAAAATACTGGCTGTGATCAACCTTCATATCCTTTAACACATAATTTTCAGGAATATATATATATATATATAAAGTAAAATAAGAAACACCAGGCTAATCTCTTCAGCAGGAGGTTGTTTGCTGGCTTGAAGGCTGGCAGGGTGTTTGTTTCACTCAGCGCTGCTCTTTGCAGCCAGCAAGCTCTCGGGCTTCCCCAGGACCTGTCACCGTGCGGGAGGAGCATCTCCGCGCACCGTGCCTACGGTAGGATGACAAGCCTGTTGCCATGGCTACCACAGCGAGCGGGGAGAGGTGCCTGTCAGGGACCAATTTACTCCTCCAGACTGGCACTGCCACCAAAGGGAAGGCAAGCTCTCCCATAAATCTCAGCAGACGCTAAACACTGAGCACAAATAACCTGAATTTACACACAAGTGTTCTGTGCAGGTAACATTTCTAAAACATACAGAGAGACATGAAAATATCCATTCCAACAGTATCTTCTCTGTGAAAATGATTGCTAAAATATTCAACTGGTAATAGTACACAGTTTTGTATTATATTCTTTGAGGCTCTCCAGCATCTCTACTAATTAACTTCTTCTGTAGCAACATTTCTATCGTACAACGGTAAAGATAATTACCTATCAAGCATCAATATATGCGATTTATTATTTTATTTCCATCAACTCCAAAGGACTCACGTACTACTGAATATGACAATGAATAATAGATAAGGCACTGCTCAAATTAGAAAAGGCTTTCAGCTGATTATGCTTAAAATGTTTTTGATTACCCACAGTATGATTTACAAAGAGTACAGAGATTTTTAGAAGTCTGGTAAGCTGTTTTGATTTGTAAGTTGAAATAGCATTCTTCTTTCTTTAGCTGCGTTTCAACATTCACTACATAAAGATGCACGTTATTTAATTCATTAAAAATTCACTCAACTCCAGTTAAAACAACATTGAAGAAATCTGAAAGTTTAAGATTAAATGTTCAATCTCAAGAGTCTGGAACACATTATTGCTAAAGCAACAGTTCGAAAAAAATACTGTAGAGGAAAATGCGTTTTGCTTAATTACATTATATTTGGCAATCCATTTATTAGCTAATTGCACAGAATATGCATTCTACTAATGTTAGTTTACAGGTCTTTCTCGCACAGTCTGTATATCTGTAACAGGTAAAAATTCCAAATGCACATTAAAATATGAACCACACTATTTACTTTGCTTGTTTACTTTAGCAATGCTTAGAAACAGCTTGTTCCTTGTTACTTTGCCCAAGACCTTCTTGTGCCACCCTTGAAAATTCAGAAAACAACATCAGAGGATTATAGAAGAGTATGAGGGTCTTCAGTACCTGGGGATCAGAGCCATCAAACCCCTCCTGGTAAATGATCCTCTGAATGGACTGAAGCAGCCTTGTGTAAGCACTGTTCATATCACTGTTGGTAAGAAGAAATAGTTTAGTAACAGATTTTAATACTCTGCTATATGTCTCTAACAGTTGTTTTTAAAATAAATATAAGTAGATGCAGCTTTCAGTTCAAAAGTGTCATATAGAAAAAAGTGTTACAGAAGAAAAAATCCAAACCTGTTTGAATAAAGTTGACATTATAAGCAGTTGTGATTGCTTCATGTTAACTAGTTCTGTGCTCAGACATTTAGTGAAAGCTAAAATCTCTCGGGATTAAGATAACTTAATTATGTCAGGCTCACTTACATCTAGAAGATTAATGATTTAATGTATCATTTTAAAGTTGAAACCATTATAGCACAGTACTAATCTTCTACAACTGTCAAAGATCTACCCAATTGTCATTCCAAGTATACCTAACCGACGTCCTGATGAACAGCTGACTTTCTATTACTGAAAACTTTCATATACACAACTGCTACAACAGTCAAAACTAACAAAAACCACATTTTCACAATTAAAAAGTTCATGTAGTTAATGTGGGGGGGATTTTTAGTTTGGGGGTTTTGGTTTTTTTTTTGATACCACACCAGAGCATAAGATATATTCTGCTATGCTACAGTTCTATTTTGTATCTATATACTATAGGTGTTATTAATGTTTTATCTGCATGACAGCAGAATTTATGAGGTGAGGTAGAATTTATGTATTATTTAGAAAATATAACATTTTTTTTTTTAAAAAAGGCAAATCAGTGGCTAAAAATGGATTTAAGCAGACTTCAAACAAAAGTTTAGCAAATGGTCTTGTCAAAGTCTTAGAAGGTCCAGCTCCTGCACATTCAAAGCACTTCAGATATCCACCCCAGCCATGCTCTCCAGTCCACAGGCTAGGAAACACAATGGACAGAAAGTCCTAATCTTTACTTTAAAAAAGCAAGCCAGTTGTTTGCTTTTAAGAGAGACATACTGTTTTCTTAAATCCCATAGTGCATACTGGCTTGTGTGTCTGGATTTGATGTAGGTTCCTCTCTGCAGCTAAGAGTTTAAGCCATTCTGTCTTTCCTAGGTTCAGGGTTTCCTTCTAGTCCCACTAATTACCATCAAGGGTTGTGGTTTCAAACCTTTTTGTGTACTTCCTGGGAAATATGACAGGTTATTTTGAAAATTTTGCCTCTAAATATATTCTTGCTCTAATCAATTTACATGTCTGGTCTGACAACAGTCCAGCTTGGAAAGGACCTTGAAAGATCACCTAGTCCAAACATTAATGAAACTGTTCCCATTACTTTAGGAAGAACCAAAAATGTTATCCAAATGCATTTTACTAATAATACTGAAATAAACCCAAATAAACCTGCTTTCATAATTTTGCACAGGAGACAACTTTCCTGAGAAGTGGTTAAGAGTTGCAAACATCTGTCTTTTACCCCATTGCTTTAACTCAGAATTCTACATTTCCTTCAAGAAAATGGTATCAACCCAAACCCAATCCCCCCAATGATATATTTAAGTTATCAACTATAATCAAAAAAGTCATATAGTCATAATAATTTCAAGTTTTGAAATACTCAGTGTCAGAAAACATTATGCGATGACCTTGGATACAAATAAAGGGGAGAGTTTCCAAATTAAACTGTTTATTTGTTTTCAGATTTAGTACCCTAGAAAGCTATTGGTTAAACTGAGGTACCTTAACAATTTAATACTCTCTGTATTGTATGTAGAATGACATTCACAGCTGAAAATAAATGGCCATATATAAACTCAACATGACATTTAACAAGTCAAGTTTGCCTTGCTATACAAGAGTATCTCAAACAGAAAAGAAAGAGTCAATTTTCACTTATAAAGTCAATTATTTTCCTAGTAGTTAGCTGGAAAAGGAAGGCTGTTAAATGTTGTACCCATACTGTCTTGCAAGTGTCAGTTCACAGGGTAGGTGGAGGGGAAGAAAACTAACATTTTCAAGTTTGTGTATCTATCACTTATTTTGCTGATGAGCATTACCATGCTATCTATAGTGATGCCAGAGAATATACTGCAATCACACTACTTGCCAATTCCTGATTTGTTACTAACTTGCTTTTAAAAGTTAGTGGATAAAAGAATAAAATACCTAAAGCGTTAGCAGAATTAAAGGGTCCCAGAATGAAAGCAAACAAATAAAAGAGATCTTCAATTAATCCATCAGAAAAAGATTTACAGCAAAGAAAGAATTAAAGAATGTAATGTCTATCAATTAAAAAAAAAGATGCTCTTCTAATTCTTGACAAAATATTAATGGTTTACTTGAATTTGAACCATGTTATGTACATAAGGACATAAAAAAATTGTGGAAACACAACTTATAAAAACAAGTTGTGTTACCCTTCTGGCAATGCTTGTCATAATATTTAAGAAAGGAAGTAAGATATTTCTTATTTTCTAATTTCTAGTCTTTTTTTGGCTTTGATACTAAACACCATTTAATTCTGATAATGAGTTTAAACAATTCCTTCTTTACCCTTTTTTTTTTGTTGTTTAGCAATTTAGTAATGGATAAAGCAGGAGCTGGCAAGAAGGTATCCTAGTTACAATGGAGCCTCTGACTTCTCTGTTGATAGTTTCTAAGCAGTTAACAAAGGTTAGGTTATCAAGGGTATGACAAATAGCCTTATTATATATAAGGAGACCCCATTAGGCACAACAGTTAAACCCGTTTTATCTAAATTTATCGGTAAATCTAGACTCTAGACAAATTTATTCTTTGTCAAAAGCACATACATTCTTAAGGTAAAAGTTACGAGTATTATTGAAAAACTACGGCTTCGTTATTTTAGTTCCCTTGATTATCAAACTTCCTTTTTTGGTAATTGCAAATGACCAACAAGGGTAGAAGTAGAAGGGTAGAAATAAGTCTTTTCTGTGATGCACAGAGTTATCACAGAGGATATTTCTGCCTTCCTGTTAAATATCAGCTTTAGCAATGCAACGAAAAGGACACCAGAATATCCTAGCAACAACAACTGGAAAACAGTTGCTGTCATCTGCAAAACCCCATTAACCTGGTCCTAGCATTAGGGCCAGGACACAACTGCCCTTCCCTAAAATTAAAAATAATAAGAAAGAGAAGGTTTATGCCTTCTTTTGGCACCAAACACCCAGTCCCATTTACTACTTCCTTTAGGAAAACAGATTTCCCAGTCTGCTTTCAATTAATGTTTATCATGGGCCAGTGATCTTCTACCTATCTTGAGTGATTATCCAAAAAGGGACCTGTAATCTAGTTTAGCCATCAGGTACCAGAACTGCAGAAAGGACAGCAAGCAGACACACACACGTGTGCAAAAGCACAGGAAAGAAAGACCGATTCAAACTTTAAGGTGAGCAAATGATGTATATAACATCCAAATTGCAAAGTAAAAGCCAGTCAATAACTTAATTCTGTCTAATTAGTCATAGAATCGCTTTTCTTTGCAAGTCCATAAAGAAGCCAAGTGCTTGCGTGGATAGGAAGAGAGGGACATAGAGTTCTAAAAAGGGCAATAGTTTCTGACCCAAATAAAGCCTCTACCTCTCTGATCCTGCAAAGGGAAGCACTGTAATTATCTTGCAATAGACATTAGCTACAAATTCAGAGACAGTTCACTCACTGACGAACAGTTTAAATAAAATAGGTTTCTTAACATGAAGCTGGAGAATTAGAAGCACCAAGATGATTTGGTCCTTTTTACAAATACATGTTCTTGTGCCACAACACATTACAACAAAGGACCTTGCTTATTAAAAGATGCAGCACTGGTTTTCCAAGGATTGTAAAATATATGTTCGCTGTACTCACTGTTTCTGTCAGGAGAGCATAAACTGTACAGGAAAATGTGGTACGTTGCTTTTCTTGTATATTTTCTGCTTTAACTGTAAAATCTATTCTTTGTTATTACATCCCAGAGTGGTGAAAGGAAAGGAGAGCAAAGGATTGTTCTTGTTCCCCATCCATTCCCAAAGAAAAGAAGGGTGGGAGAAGAGAACTCTTCCAAATTCCAAAGAGGAGAAGTGAAGCTTAAGGCCTCCAAATCTAGTCACCCTCTCACTGAAAAAGGGAAAAGTAAGGCTGGTCAACAAGGTGAATTCTAAGTGCATCTAACAAGTTATAGATTAAGTACATTCTTTGATGAACATTAATTACATACAAAAGTAGCAGATCTCTACTAGGAACAGAAAAAAACCCACCCAAAAAGTAAAATACTTAGGGAACACCTTGCTCAGATGAGTACCTATGATAATTTAATCAAAAAAAGTGCAGTGAAAAAAATATACTGAGCTTCTAAAATATTTCTTTACAATTACTAGCTTGTGATTGCAGAACATATAGCTTATAACCTCAATACAGAATGTGTGTATGTTGGGTTCAGTACACTTTCCACAACGACTATGTAATTTAAAGTGCCTCTTCACTGGCTGTAGTTACAGGGTTATGACAATTTATTTCTTAATAAATTTATTTCTCTGAACAAAAACCATGCTGTGCTCTGCTACGTTACAAATATTTAGAATGTATCATGCTAGCTAAAATAATGTGGAGAAATTTTGAGAAGACTGAAGAGTTTTTCTTTTTTTTAGTTCACTAATTCCTAATTTTTTGTGCCTTCTGATACTATAAAGAGGTATTATCCATCAATAACAATAACATTTACTGATGGAAAATTATCAGTTTCCACTTTCTCCTCAACCTCCACATTCATGACAAAAGCAGATAATTCTTAGATAAAAAAGCCACAAACCACACCACTGATTTTGGTCTGCATTCCTACATGATTTAAGAGAAATTTGCATTAAGAAATGTCTTTACTGATACTATCTTGCAAAGTATACCCTTATAGAAAGTCATGAAATCTTCCACAAACATCCCATAATAAACAGCCTATTAATGTAAATGATATCAATAATGAACTATCCCCTTTCTTAAAAATGCCTCATTTTTGAATGATTTGTGTTCTTTCAATAAATTAAATTGAAAAAATAATATTTTAGAGATTTTTCAAGTAATTTTGTAACATTTTTTTTAGTTCATTCCAGGCTATCAGTACTTTTTTTTGAGGAATTGTCAGCCTAATAGATTAAAGAGACTTCATAATGCTATATAGGTAATTAGCACTATGTGACCAGGTGGTTTTTTGGCTATGCATCTAAGACCATAGTCTGAGAACTTTATGTTTAAGAAATTATACCCTCTAAGTGAAGACATGCTAACTAGCCATGTCCATGCTGTTAAAGTGTCATGGTTTAAGCCCAGCTGGCAACTAAGCACTGCTGGTGGGATGGAGAGGAGAATCAGAAGAAAAAGGTAAAATCTCGTCGGCTGAGATAAGGGCAGTTTAACAGGACAACACAAGGAGAGGAGAAATAGTAATAACAATACTAGTAAGAGAACATACAAAGTGAGTGAGGCACAATGCAATTGTTCACCACCTGCCACCCGATGTCCAGCCCATTCCCGAGCTGCGATCCCTCCCTCCGCCAGCCCCCCGCCGTTTATATACTGAGCATGATGTACATGGTATGGAATGTCCCCGTGGCTACTTCAGGTCAGCTGTCCTGGCTGTGTCCCTTCCCAGCTTCTTGTGAAAATTAACTATATCCCAGGCCAACTCAGGACAAAAAGAGATTAGCTCAAGCTCTCAGTGGGACCTTGAGGTCTCATCAAATATGAGATCTAATGCAAATTGTTGACTTCTATAGGAAGGGTTAACTGAGACTATCATATTACTTTCTTTCAAATCACTGTCTAGTTAACCAAGAGAACAGAAATTTTTACTATTCTATGATAAATTGAAGTTAGCTTTAGAAGCCAGAAGCACTGTGTTGATCTTCCAAGCAGTGATGCCAACAAAATAATATCCTTTCCCTCTCCCATTTATAAACTTTCTGTAATGAAATCATCCTGACAGGGCTGTGAGCTTGTTTTCATTCCTTGAGAAAGGAATCCTTCCTTCAGAATTCCATTACAATATTTGTAAAAAATACAGTACAAGTCTGTTGGGTTTCTGTAAAAGCATAAATGTTTTGAGACCAGTGAAATAATTGGTAACATTCATACTCAGTGTTGGATTTAATACACTGTGACTAATGTGTATTAAAGAATCACTGTACATAGGAATGAAAAGGACCTCAAGAGGTCAGGTAGTCTATCTTCCTGCCCCAAGGCAAGATGAACTACATCTAAACCATCTCTGACAGATATTTACCTAACTTGTCCTTAGAAATTTTCAATGATGGAGATTCTACACTACTCCCAACTGCAAGGCAATTTCTTCTTGTGCTAATCATTAGAAAAATATCTCATTCCCAACCTGTATTTCTACTACTACAGTTTAAAGTAGCCCATTACTGCTTGTCCTACCCTCAGCAGACAACAGTTACTACCTTCTGTATGTCAGTTTTTAACGTGCTTAAATTTGTCTAAGGACTTCCATTCTTCCATTACGGACCATACGTCCCATTTCTAGATGTATATCCATCTTCACACCCTTCTCTGACTGATACAGAGTCGTCTTGAAGGATGCTATCAAAAACTGGACAGCCTGGTAAAGGCTGAGCAGAACAGAAGTACTTAGTGTGTCTTCCACATTAAATTCCAGTTTACCACCTCCATGCTTTTAAAATTATGCTTCTTGGTAGCACTAATCACACAACACTGCTAATATATTTTATGTTCAAGATACTTTATAACCCCAGGTCTTCTTCTGGAGACCTGCTACACTATTTTTTATTTGTTCAACTAATTATTCCTACTAGTATGATATTTGGCATGTGTTCACTGAATTCCATATAGTTTATTCCAGATCACCGACCTAAATCTTCTTGAATTCTAATTCCATTATCTAATCTGCATGCAATTATTCCTTCCACTTTTTCCCAAGTTTGACATTATGACCGCAACTTTATGACTGACTGCACCCATTGCTCAGGATACATATCAAGCCAAATTAGTACTAGATTATTACCAGACCCAACACTGTGATAAAGCCTGGTACTTCACTCAGGTTCAACTGTGACTCAGTGACAGCTTATTTAGAAGATAAGGATTTAACAATCAACATGACAAAAAGAAAACTGTCAAACCAGTCTAGGTTCCTCCTTTGACAAGATAACAGACTTCATCAATGCAGAATATCTCCTGTTTTATTTTAGAGCCTTTTGACTCTACTCCAGTTGAATACTCATAAGCAAACAAAGGAAACACATGCTAGGTGAAACTACCCTAGAAGCTTAAAAATAGATGATATTATTTTTTTGGTATTTTTCAGAGCACAGTTGTTATCCCACAGATGTCTTTACCTTCTCTCTTTAAAGACAGGCATTGTTTTGGCCTTTTTGACTTTATGGAAATTTGACAATTCTTTACATTTTACTGATGAACTTCATTGGGTCCCAGCCTGAAAACATTTATGCATTTTCTAACCTGGCTTTTTCCTTACGTAAATTGGGTTGTCCAATTTGCTGATAGCAACTGTGCTAGGTGCACATCAATTCAGGTTTTGGGGTAATGGGAAAAGTAGCTTATCTACTTCCATAATTTTTTAAAAAAACTCCAGTTGTACAACAGTGATGAACAAAAGTTTTAATTCTAATTCAGCTTATTTTAAAAATGAGTCTCAAAATTGAATGACTGTAATTATGGGAAATTTAAATCTTCAATTTCTTTATGGAGAAATAAGCTTTATTTCAGAGGCTGTAATTCTGAAAAATTCTTCTCACCTTGTCTTAACCTTGACCTAGCGCAACCTTTTTACTACAGGGAATCCAAAACGGGTGGTGTTTGTGGTCGGGGAAAGACCATAATTAAGGTTAGAAAACAAATGATCTACTGTAAATGAGAGTCATACATATCTCTTCACAGTTCCCACAGATTTCTGTATGAGAGTTCACTGTTCCTCCCTATTCCTTACCACACTGCACTGTGGTCTAAGAAAAGAACGTTTAGATGGTGGTTGTCTGTTACTTTGGGACCTGCCTTTACTCCCAACAATACAATTTTTCATTTCCTCAGGAGAGCCTTCTTGAAGGAGACCCACGTTGTGGGTGCAGGGAGAATTAAAGAAGATAAGACTTCCAAAATCCATCCTTATCTGATCATGTTCCTCACCTCATCACTCTGCTCTATCAATTTGCCAAGCAAATTAACTAAATCTAATCTTTCTGTCTGATTAAAACTAAAAGTAAGAATTCATATAGTAAGAATGATGAGTTTTTGTCAGTATAGTCCACAAGGAAAATATCATAGTTAAGTGAGGCTTATAAAATCAAATGCATAAAAGTTAAAGTCCATTTCCTATACTACACATACAAGTTAATTTGATTTTAATGTAAAATGTACAAATATTGGACAGTCATACAGTTAATGGAACTAAGCCCAGAGTCATGAGACATTCTAGTTAGCTAGAGAAAAGACAAGAAGGGACTTATATTGCTCAATAACAATATAAGCACTTGCAACCTATCTCTTTTGTCTATCCTGTACAGCCCTGTTACTAAAAGAAAAAAATAAACATAATATATAAAGTTTGTTCAAATATTTACTATAAAAAAAATAAAATGCAAGTTCTCTGCTTTCTCCCGAAAGTATATTTTTTATTAAAACATCACAACACCTAACACAGAAGTAAATTATAAACAGACTTGGATTTTTCTTTTCTACAGCTCTAAGAAAGGTGCTTCATACTGCACTTCCTTCATGAATCTCAGTTTTTATATTTGAGTGTGCTGTAATGAAAATCAGTCACAATAAATCATACTGTACTACCATTTCCAGGAGCTGGCCCTATACACTGGGATCTATAAAACTAGGTATTATAGAAATTAAGTGACTGGGCAGAACAAAGAGATTGCTAGCCCATATTTGATGTTTGACTTGACTTGAAATGTCTCCAAGAAAGATACAATGAACATGTGTGCTACAGGCTAATATGAGTCTTCGCTACTGTCACTCATTTTCTCTTGGTCTTTCTTAATTCATTACTCATAGACATAAACAATGTTATTCATTACAGAGAGGAGTTTACGATTTTCTCTGGAATTAGGGGTGTTGTGCAAGACATAATTAGTGATTGTAATTCTATTTACAGTACTTTGTATTTTCCTTAGGTGAAGCTGTAGGATATGAGAAGTAAAAGTCACACAATAAACTAATCTGTTGTAGCATTCTACGCTATGTAGGTCAAGGATGGTCTGTCTTTTTAGCCCTAAAAACTGTATGGATATCTTCCTAAAACTGATAGCTACCTGACACACACATTTCTGAAAGCTGATGGGCATGGTGCTCAGGGAGTAGTTCATAGACAGATAGTTTCCCCCAGTCCCCACACTCAGCTGTCAGTAGGGCTGGACTGAACATGCAGCTGCATCCTAGGCTGTCCTAGTAATGTCTGCCTTAATTGTCCCTGCCAACTTGCTTGCTCCCACGGCTGAGGAGTCAGAGTACTGAGCTGTCTGTGTGCCACAGCAGCTTTGCTGCCAGTCATGGCATGTAGCACCGACATGAGACCCAGAGCTGAACTGCTTGTGAGCCATGCATGGCTACAAGATTTTTCAAGCAAGTGTAGATGCAAAAATACCCTTTAGTACTAATATGCAGAGAGAATTTGAACACACAACAGAAGCGTGTTTTTAGAACTTACCATGTTTTCATTTTAGGCTGTAAAGACAATTCTTCAGGAAGGTAAAAACTGTGCCATTTTACGGACTGAAACAGTTCTGGAGGCATTGTTTTAGAAACATCATAATAATGGCCAAACTTTGTAGATGTTGGGCTGGCCTGTGGAAACAACAGTACTGATTACAATAACCTATTAAATTATTATCTGTCAAAAGAAAAAACATCATAAACATTCCAAATGTAATATATGTCACAGCAGGAATGACACATTTTTAATATGTTCTGCTAGTAAATAAACAGAGGAAATAAATGCATATTTTTGTTCCACATTAATGGAGCTCACCATGCAACCTGCAACATCATGTGAATCTCACATTTAATGTTAAAAAACCCCTAGATTGTTTTAATATGCAGTATTCAAGTATATGGTAGTTCTCTGCTGCAAGAATTGAACAGTTTTGGCTCTTCATGTAACAACCCACCTTCTTAATCTTTTCTGCCCTTCCCATTAAAAAAAAAAAAAAAGCTATCCTGAGAAGGACAATCAAGCAGAGTAAACCTCACAGACAAGTTACTTTCTCCTAGGGAAGGAAAACACTTAGCACAAATGTAAACCACTATATAGTAGTTTTTAATGTACATACGGTAAAGGAGTAACAGATTACCAAAGCAATATTAAAAATGATCTTTAGGTTATGGCACAAACATCACTGTGGTCCCAAATCAGATTATCTCTCATCAACTGTTCTAACTCTTTTGAGGAAAAAGAAAGGTCATTTAGTATAACCAAATAGTTTTTTAATACAAGTATCAGTCAAACCCACAATATTTCTAACTGGTAAGATGCCTGGACCAGAAAGGTGCTGGATCCTAGACTTTTAACAGCAGCTCTGCAGGTCAAAAGAAAGACTACCTATTAGTTTATTTTGAGGACAGCTACCCTAAGCCTGGACTGCACCTGAATGTGTATTGTACAGTGTAGGAATGTGCAAAAATATCTAAAAGTAATTTTTCTGTCTCCCAATTCCAAGACTTACTGCTAAGCTGAACCCTCCCTAAGAGCCAATAGCCACCATACAATAAATGATAATATACTGAAATAAAATATCTTGATGGTTGTGAAAGAGAACAGGTGAGACAGAAAAGCTAAGAGCTGAAATTAAGAGATATTAAAGACATATTCACACTGCAGAACAGAATACCTTTTACAGATTGTTCTGAAGAGAGGTTTGGATTGGTAGGTAAAATGAAATCTACTTTGTACTTAAACAATGGAATTACTTTTGAACAGTGACCAGAAATACCCCAAAGAATTTCAAAACTTTCTCTGTAGATTCTAGAAAAAGTTAGAACATTCCATAAAAGGATTTTTCTTTTAAGTAGGCCAATATATACATTTTATCCACTATCTGAAAGTTGAGCAGGGTTGTGTGTGCATGCAGTGAAAATTCTTTAGAGCAACTCCTGCTCCGATTTCAACATCTCCTATTCTTGCTACATACAGAAATGATGATAGGTATACTGAATTATTATAATAATGTGATCCCAATAATTTCTAGTGTGTTGAGCAACAAATTATTTAGTTGTAAGTCCAATAATTATAGAAATCTTGTGGTTTTCATAAACCTTGGTATTGCTGATAAGTACTATAACAGTAAAAAGAAAGAATACAAACGTGCCAGACATGGCCATGTATTTATAGTTAGCTTTCTGAAATCAATCATGCTATGTATTTCCACAATTTTATTTCATGTTTGAGCTTACCAAAAATATATTAAACTGTTAAGATTAATTAGAATAATTTTCTTTAAATACTTAGAAATTATTCCATTATTCTGTTATCAGATAATATAAATAGTAGCAATATCTTTCCTACAAAACCAACAGAATAACCAAACTAACCCAAACCTTTTCATTAAAGCAAATAATTACTTTTTAATTAAAAACCCCACAAGATTGCTCATGTATATCTAGACATAAGAGACAGATCAGTTTTACTCAAAAAAAGGTGGAAAAAATCACATTCTCTAAGTCAGTGTTCCAATTTATTTATTAGCATCTGATTTTTAAAGAAGGAGGTCCAACAAAACACAACAATCTATCAAAATTAAATATTTTTAATGCAAAATGTAACTTTATTTAAAACAAGGATTTTGAAAGCAATTTAAACAGGGGCTGTTCTTTGGCCTATAATCTATTCTTTATCCGGATTACAGATCAGAATGTTTTTACTGCAATCTCTGCCAGAGCTCATCTTTTTATTGTGTACTTCCAAGCTCCCTTAATGTTTTAGAAAGGCCTTGACTAACTGAACTTTGATCTGATGTCTTCATTGAGAAAAGCTCCAGGTTGCCCATTTCAGATGCAAATCCTTACTGAGGCCCAATAGAGTTTAGTAAAGACAGCAAAAAAGAAGAAACAAGAAGTTTCCAGGATCCTCTTTGAGAATCCTGAGGCACATTGGTGTCCTTAATCCACCCTGCTGCATGGATTAAGGTAGGTGATAACCTCTCTTGATTCAAAAGAATAAGCACAGTGCCTACAAACTGGGTGGAGACTAGGATTTGGCTATAATAAAACACCATGCAATAAAAGCTCGGTCTATGTCAGAAGCCTATGAATAGGCCTCAATGTACTGCATTCCCAGGCTTAGCGGGGAAGCTTGCAAAAAGCCTACCTGAATCAAGTAAGCATGAATAATCTGCCTTAGCAGAATGACCATGGAGAGTGCGAAGCAGAGACTTTCCATTCCTCTTAAGTTTGATCTGATAAATTTATTAGTGGATTGGAGGCTCAAGCCTGTTCTTTCCTGGATTCCTATCTTGCACAAGGAGAAATACACTAAATTGTCAGTGAGCAGAGCGTGCTTTTATGCTACCGTCTGCTGTTAATGTTTCTAATTGCAATACTAATGTGCTAGAAATCTCAGATTTAGGATGAATCAAGGCAGAAAATTGATTTCATGCTGTGACAGTTTATATATTGCCCCAAGAACATAAGCAGAAAAAAAAAAAAAAAAAAAAAAAAAAAAAAAAAAAAAAAGAAAAAAGAAAAAAACCCCACACTCTCTTGCATTGCAAAATAGGCTAGCCATATACTCAAAAGTTTAAATGAAATTAACTTCTGATACAGAAGTAAGTAACAAACCGGCAAAGGCCAATCAAGCACAACACAACCTGTTTCTCCGAGAGATTTCTTTTAAATCTTCTTTTTCTGATGTACAAGTTATATGCAATATATAAAGAGAAACTGTGGTAGTTATGAAGAGTACTAATATAAATACCATGGATAAGAACAAAAATGAGTTACCTAACTAGTCTGTATGAGGTCTAATAAATGGGAAGGGAATATCTGAACTACCAGTGAAAATCTCTTTTATTACTTAGAAATAAAAACTAAATTAAGCATCAAAAATACCACAAAGACAGCTTTTACTCAGCATTCTTATGTCATGTAAAGCCAGATATTGGATGGAAAAGTTTTCTGCTAACATGTTTAGAGTTTCAGTTAAAAGCAAAGCTATTTTCTCTCTTTCATACTTGAAACTATTTGAGAGTAGATTTTGAAAATGTACTAGTGTATTAGTTCAATCAGTTTGGAAAATATGACTTGAAATTTCATTCAACATTATTTTTTTTTCTGCCAGAAGAAAATTTAAAGAATAAAGGACAATCGAAGTTGTTAATTAAATGATAGTACTAGGTGTATTAAACATCCAGGGTGCTGCAAGGCTATATCAGATTTTTTCTCAGTGGAGTATATTCAACAATCTAATTTAACACAGCACCAAAATTTTATAACTGCATTGTAAAATACTGAAAAATATCAATTTCAAAACTATTTTTCACTAATTAAAATATCATGAGGAATTTTAGCTATGGATAGCTTAAGACTTTCATTTGCAAGTTTTGATTTTTAACAATTTAACAAATACATTAAAAATACTGTACCTCAACTATTGAGAATGATCAGCATCCAGTTCACAAAGAGACCATGATAACGAGGAAACACCCCACAGAAGACTGACCATTCTGTTCTATCTTGCATTATCAGATTTCAATAATCAAGGACAAGTACATTAGGTATGGTAGAAAAATATTATATTAGTGGAAGAAGTGATTACTTCTATGAAGTTATAAAAGATGAGTGCACACCCAACTGGATTATTTATATGTGTTTCTATTTTATTAGAACATCAGAACGCTATTTGTTACCAACGTGCAATTGTTTCCATATCAACGTACAAGGAATTTGGCTAGTTTTTAAAACAGACAAATTATTTTGGGGATGGTTCAGAGTGGCACAGCAAGCTCCACAATAATAAAATTGATGAGATTATATGATTACCCTGGAGGCTGTTTGATTTGGCATGTCACCATATATAAGTCTTTTCTGACACAACTATATAGCCATGTCTGTGCAATTTCACAGAAAACCAAACATGCCAAGCCTTGTAAGATCATTTTGTCACATTCCAATTATGTTTTTTAAGAATACGACTGAACTTATTGGGCAGTTATGACTACATCTAAACCAGAATTTATAAATGTAGGCTAAAATGTATAGACAAAACAAGTTTTTTGTTCTCAATAGTCAAAAATGCTGTAATTTTATTAAAGGTGATTGTGCCACTGGATTCATTAAGCAAGTTACCAGCCACGGAAGATACATTATTAACAAAACACTAACAACTGTAAACTCTGAAAGACTGACCACTGAGCTTCTTTCTTATATTCTCCCTGCACAGTGATTAGTTTCTAGTGACAGTGAAGCTGATATAATCTCAAGTGCTTACTTTAGTTGTTATGCACATGGATAAGCAGGTCAACAGCTTGCTACGACACAGTGCTTTCACTACAGAGATCAGTAAGTACTGTTGATTAAACCTGCTTAAGCCATTTGTGTACAACTAAATTTGGGCAAAGTTTGTAAGTGACCAAATTATTCAAGCTTTCATAAAAAGCTGTCTCAATAATACTCACTGAAAAATCTCATGGAACTTTAATGGTTTTTAATTTTTAAATTATTATTGTCTGTATTAAGTTTTACAGTTCCTGCAAACTCTGAATTTCCCCTTCTCTCTGTATCTCTAGTAATCAAAAAATATAGCGGTGTATGATAATTTACCCTCAGGAGACCATCCTGTAACACTGTCCATTAGCAGTTCGGCTCTCTAGATTCTACTAAAAAGCATTTGCTCTGCAAATTTCATTTTGACTGCAAGAGGAAATAAGCATGAAATACCAATTACCTCCATTTTTGGTAAATTTTGGTAGCGCCAGGCTATTTTCATAGAATCCTGAGAATCTTCGGACTTAACAGCTGTTGATTCTTCTCCCAGTTCTTTTCTGTAGGTATCATCAAGCAAAGGGGCTGGAAGTTCCTACAGGTGGAGAGTGAAAACATGTCAGCTACCTACAGTAGAACTGGCAATTAAGATTTTTACTCCCCAGTGTGCCCCCCCCCCCCAGTTAGCTAATAGAGCTATCTTAATATAATGGACAGTTGTAAAATCTGTAACAAAACTTGATTAAAATAACTGTTCTGAAAGACTGGTTCCTACTAATACTGAGCATGAAAAAAACCATGTAATTATTATGGGAAAAATGAATTCTACAATTGTAAGAGAATGCAGAATGGAAATAGCCCATTGTATACTCTACGCAAATAACACATCTTGAGCAGCATCCATGTTCTTTTTTAAAAAATCTTTCTTTAAAGGTTGATCTCCCAAACTGTTCTCTATCTGTGAACAGGTAAATTCTCTGCGCAGTGAATTTAAGCCTACTTTATAGTAAGATCACTTTTTGTTTTTATCTTCTGTATATCTTTCAAAGTATTCAACAGATCACAATAGCCTACACAGTCTGAAAACAACTGTAACGGGATGGTTTGAATTTTCTCTTCTGCTAACCATTAGGCATGATATCTACTAAGGACAGATACTTGTGAACAAACAACGGAGTAAAAGGAAGGGCAATTATTTAATCCTGGAATTTTTAGAAGTTTGTAATGTAAACACTTCTAGCACCTTTTTTTTTTTTTTTTTTAAGCAGCATTACACACAGGTGGATTTAATTGTTCTATGAGGACAGAACTGCAGCTTTGACTTAGACCTAGACTAGGAAAAATATTTTATTACAAACTTTCTGCTTTCTACCTTTGTTGCATTGTTGAAAAAGTAAACAGCTGGGTGGATATCAAGCACAGCATTCAGAATTTAGGCATGGGGCTTCTACACCTACTAGAGGAATGAAGTGCAACCAAGTTTCCTGACTCAACTTTATCACCTGTCTGTGTAAACTGGAGCGCACAGGAACTCTTTATCTACTTAAAATAGATCAAGACTTACTTGAAAACTATGCTTTCATTAAGCAAAGACTCCAGAAGAACTGAGATGTGGTCTCAAGGGTTAAAAATAGATAGAGCTAGCCAGTATCTCTGTCACAAGTGTGTGTGAAGACATAAAATAAAACAAATCTGAGAACTTTATAAGAATCTTAATTGAAGTGTGGGATACACATGAAACACTGAACATAGGCAGAGCTGATACTGACCATAAACTTCTAAATGATATTCATGGTTTTATGTAGGCAGATGTGGTACAAACAGACAAAAAGAAGACAACGAAAGTCTAAACAAATCCATTTTGGATTTAGTATTATGCTAATTCAGTATTAAGGACTACAGGAGAGAAAACCAGTATATAGTTCAGTAAGTAATCTCATCAACAACACCTGATATTTTTGTTTCTTTAACATAGTATCTACAGCTATATTTTGTATCTACAGTGTATCTACAAAACTGAGAACAAATGTTTCTAATTTCAGGACAGTTGTTTCTGTTGCTCTTTTCAGAGGTTGGTCAGTACATCCTCCCAAATAAAAGGTACTGGAAGCTATGTAAACTTTTATGTAGTTACTTCAAAAAAGTTGCAGAAACAGAACAACTGTATCTATGAGTTTCAGCAGCTAAGCAGAAGATGCAAGCCACACCATCAAGGAAATAATTTTGTTTCATTCACTTTCTCTTTGCAAATGAACTGCAAAGGCCTGGTAAAGGCTCTTCATGGGAATGGTTATGTACAGAGTTAAATTTTGATTTCTTACAGCTTGTTTAAAAGATGCACTTCTATACAACAAACTTGTATTACTGTGGTTGTAAAAATTAAGCTTTATGGGTAGGAAAGCTACCCCAAAATTACAATTTTAAGCTAGTATTTACAGCTTTCTTTAAATTTATAGATTTGGAACAGATGTTTCTGTAAAAAAAAATAGATTTACTTTTGTTAAAGTTTCCTTATATCTACCCAGAAAGGAAGCAGGCAAACTTCCAAACCAAAGGCAAAGATGTCTGACAGGAGGAAACGTAAACAGAACACTGTATGAAAGGTTCAGAGAAAGTATAAATACAAACATGACCTAAAAAGCACACCAATGTACTTTACATATATGCACATACAAATTATTTGCATTCACTTCTAAGATATTATATAAAAGACTTTTCTAAAAAAGATGTTATTTTGAATTTCTAATTTTATCTCAGACATCCACAATAAAGAATTAATTGATTTTATTTTCCAATTAAGGTATTATTTTGAAAACAAATTACTAAACTATTACGTAGATTTAATTTCCTAGTACAGTTATTCATAGATTTAAGCTGGCTAAGGTATAAGCATCTTTTTCAGTGAAGACCTGCTGATACATGATCATCTCAAAATATTGCTCAATTATACTAATTAAAAAAAAAAAAAATTAAATCAACCTTCATTTAAAAAGTGCTATCTGTAAAGGAATAATTCTGTAGGCCAGAACATTTCCAGATATCTTTTTTCTTTTCACTCACCAAGATCAACTGGCTCCCACGCACTTTTTATAGTGGTGGGTAACCTCTTATTTTTCTGAAAAGTGCCAGCCACAGTTTGGAAGAGATCATGAAATCCTGCCTGAGCATTCCATCAAACTCCCTGAGCTTGCCTGTGTTTTAGGACCCACCACTGATGGACCAAGCTGGTACCTTATCCTGCAGTAGTATCACTGGGCAGCTATCACATCCTCTGCAAAGCTGAATTCCAGGAAATGATACATTTTACCATTCACCTTTACTGTAAGTAAAGAGAAAACCAGCACCAATATTTTCTTATAGGTATTTACTATTTTTCTTCTCTAGAATTACTGTGAATGCCTGTCACTTGTACTACTGATTTATTGTTATTATGTAATAATTGTCAGACAAATCTGAGATAGGGACATTTAGTTATATACATTTGCTTTTATATAATCACACTTAATGTATGTTTTATACAGAGACTGTATTTTATGCTAAAATAGAACAGAGTCAAGACAATAAGGGGTGAGAGGTTCTCCATGTGTTACTGATAAAGTACAAGCTACTTCAAAACCCTCACGTACAAAACTGAACAAAGTTCCTGCCTTGCAGACAAACACAGAGCAAAACCACCTACGTGGCACTATATGGAAGGGAGACATTACAAATACCAGCTGTTGACATCTGAGAAGCTCAGCCCAAAGCAATCAGAGACAAGACACAGTATCAGTGCAACACAATTAGGCACTGTGGTATACCTTAACTGTTGCTAAGAATGAAGCAGATTAAGAGATCAAGGAAAAATGGTTTCACCTGAAGCTGATAAAGATTTTGACTGCTAGAGATGAAAACCTATCTAAGTATCCATCTGAAATAGCCTTTTTTTCCAATATAGTTTACTTTTAACTTCGGACATAATAATGAGACTTCATTCTCACATAATGAAAAACTTCTAACATTATAAAATGATTGTTTAAACATGACTAAATTCACACAAAGCAAGACGAGAAAATCCGTGACTCGGTTCCATGGCAGTTAGCACATGCATGAGCTTAGATCTGTTTTACCCAGTCTTGTCCCTTGCTGCCCCACAGAAGGAACCAGAAGCACGTGAAGAATTCTCTCATACCGAGTAACTCTTTATTTCCTCAGTTGTTTTTCCAAAATGCATGTATCTAATAACTACCATGCTTAGCTGAAAAATGTTTCTTACATGTACCATGTTCTTGTTCCTATGCAAGAAACATGCTCACATGATGCACTGAGATTTAAGACGTTTCTGAGGCTACCAGGTCTCACAGGCATATAATATTCCATCCCAACAAACCCTTTGCTCTAAAGCAAGCACATCCTGAATCATATTCTTCCATGTGGTGGTTGTGAACTTTATGGACTCTTGGTAGGCTTCAAACATAATGCAGCTGCAATCTGGAAAAGGTAATCTGCCTTTGGAGCCGACTGATATTTTGAAGACCAATTGCTTGAGCTCCACCTAAAATAGTAACTTGGTTAAATACATTTCAAGATGTTGTACTTCAGCACAAATAGAAAAAAAAAATTCCAATTCTATTCATGATCTGAGTATATCTGTAATTTGAACACATTTTAGATAACAGACTAATGAACAGAGCTAATAAAGACTGCTTACCTCCAGATTTGCATCCTAACATTATCACCGCTATCCCAGTTTCTGTCTACACTTGTTTCCCTCCCATTTACACTAAACTGTACAAAAGAGAGGCAGAACATACAGTTGGTGCTTGAGGGTATGTCTACATTGACTAGAAGCCAACATACATGCCTTCGTTAGCCTGCTAAAACACTAAACAGAATACATAGGTGACTGCTAATGTTGTTTTTCCTTAGGATGTACTGGTTCATTCCAGTTCATAATCTTCAAAAATCTTTGAATTAGATCTTTGTATAAGCACATTTGGAAAGGGTGAAAGCTTAAAATTGGTTAGTAGGCTTGGGACTGGGGAGAATTACAGACACAGAACAGAGATAAACCTGCTTTTTGGGCAATATTGAAAATATTGAAATTGGATTGATTCAAACATTTCATCTTCATATCCTCTTCTTTTCTCTTCAAGATAACTAGAACTGTAATAAAAGGCTTTCCCCTCTTCTGACACTGCAAATTAAATGCTGTTCTTTGTTTCAAGAAATAGCTCTTTCCAAATCTGACCATGCCTGAGTGATACCGAGCACCTAAGTGAGAAAAAGTCTCCAGTTGTCATAACATAGGTAAATTCCCAAAGACACAGGCTGACTCGTTGGATATACACTTCACAACTCTTCAGAGTCGTGAAAGGTTTCATTACTGTCCAAGAACTACAAAGCATTTATCAGTTCTCAAGATTGTTCTTAAAAATAGAAGGAAAAATAAAAGAGCTATGACCAGCAGTCAAACTAGCCAGGCTTCTGGCACAGCTATACAAAAACTGAACTGAAAACTATAGAGCAGAACACATACGGAGAGCGGTGGAGGGCACGGTTTCTATAACTGACATTTAAAGATGGCTAAGCCTGGGCTTTTCCTCAAAATATCAA